ATATATGATTTTCCATGGAAGTTTCAAAAACAACCAAAAGAAATAAAAAAGAAATGTTTGAGCTGGAAAAAAATATTTCTCATAAATGAGACAGCTGCAGGTGTTCTAATGAATACACATTAAACAATGGACGAACAAACAAACACATAAGACAGTTGTCTTTAAATCAGAGTGCACTCTTAGATACATTGCCACTTTGTATTACAATAACCCTGTCACAGCTTTTCAGTTTATAACTGTAAATAAACTAATCAGAACTATTCATAAGTAAATTAACAGAGATCTCTTGTAATATGAATCAGAAAGAAAGAAGAAAACCTTTTACGCCTGAAAGCAGATGGTTATTAAAGAGAGATCTAAGCTGATTGCTCATCTCATTGACACAGACCTGTTCTGTTTAAAACTGTTAGTAAACTCCTAAGGCCCCTAGGAATAGCTTTTGCTTTAGCAATGAACCTGTCTGTGCTACAGATCCAGTCAGTTTCCCCTTGGAGCAGCATTCCTGAAGGCAGGGGGAGTGAAAGGCCTTAACTTCCAGTTCTGCCTCGGGGTAGGAACACTGATACATTTGATCTAAAAGGTTTAGGGTCAAACCCAGACCTATTTTCTAAGAATATGCCCCGGAGAGAAGTGAAAGTCAGCTACACTCTGGAAGGGTCACTAAGAGAGGGAAGCCACCACCTAGACACCCAGCAGCCACAGAGAGAACAAAATCCTAACCATCTCAAGGTAAGAAAGACCAGAAAGATCAAAGAAAGCTTTTTCAGGGGGAATCTTCTGGCCTTACCAAAGCATGCCTCCAAAGACAAAAGCTGCCAATAACTCCAACCACATTGCCAAGCAGAAAAACAAAACTCAAAGAACTTGACTGAAAGAGAAAGAAAATTACAGGACAGATTGGAGATGTTTCTTTAAGCTTTGTAGTTTGGGGCTCATGTATGTACCTGAGCCTTTGTTTAGAAAATATTGATAGCAGTTCTTTTTTCCTGATAAATTGATCCCAGTTTAGCATAACTTGCTGGCTTGACTTTTGTTGTCTTTAGCTTCCTCTCTTTTTGTAAAAATTATTTTCCTATTTTTATCTTCTTTTTAAATTTTTTCTCTATTTTAATTTTCTTTTTAGTTTCTATTTTTCCACTTTTATTTTTTTTCTTTTTTGTTATTTTTTTTAAAAAAAACAACTCCAATTAGCATGTGGTATAATTTTAGAGCCCCCCACCTCTGGCTGTCTCTCTTTTCCCCCTGGGCCATCAGAGGCAGAAGATGGCTTTCAGAGGGAGCTGAGGAGAGAGGAGGAACTCATTTCAGAGGAACCTATCTGCTCAAGTAGATCAAATAGCAGCCCTGCAAAGATGCCAGATAGCAAGGAGTGTAATTTTTACAGGAATTACGGGGGAAAGAATGGAAACATTACCAGAGACCTCTGCAGTGGGTTCTGGTCTCCTGTGATGCACTACAACACAAAGCTAAACAAAAGTAAAGACCAAAACAAGGCTTAGAGAGAACTGGGTCTTTGGCTGATCCGTGCTGCTCTGGGCAGCAAACACAAGAGGCACCAAGGGCACCCAGTGTTTTACTGACTACAAGTGTGGGAAGGGAGGAAAGGTAGGTTTTGAAGGCATCTGCTGACACAGTGTAAAGCAACCAGAAGCAGCTGCCTGGAAGCATCTGGTGATGGCTGATATGTAGGCAGGGACGTAAAGAGCGAAGGCATCACCTGACTTTCTTGGAGAGGGGGTGCCAAGACTGGGCTGCAATTAACCAGAGTCTGCTAATACTGGGCAGAGACGTCTGCCACACCTAATGACTGTCTCAATTTTGGCCCACATGTTCCCAGGCCTCCAGCCCTAGGCCATCCTCCACAGGAAATCATGGACATTGTTGTCAAATAACTATCAGAAACTTTACATCCAGACATCTTTAAGAGACATTGCAAATGTTGTTTAAATGGTTTTCCTCTGTGGATAGTATGCTCCATACCATATGAAGTAAAAGTGCAAAAAGAAAGGACTACCCAATTTCCGGTCCCCCTTCCATCTCTCTTAGACAGAAGCTGTATTTCTCACAAAGTTTTCTACTGTTAAAAAAAGAAAGAATAAAAAGAACAAAAGACCCGTCCCACTCCCTTAGCGGTTGGACAGTTGAAAGACTTCAGGTTGAGAAGCCTGACCTGTGACCTTGCTGAGATGTGAGGCTGTTCTGTCGCCACTGTCCCCGGACTGGGATGAAGAGACGGGTTCTGTTCCTTTTCCAGGCTTTGGGAGGTCGGTCCTCTGCAGTGAGTGGCACCAACTTATTCCTCACAGGCTCTTCACACAGGGCACAACTCATCACAGTTCACAACCATGGTATGAAGCAAAGGATGACTCAGACCCAAGAAGGCCCAGAGGGGCGGCCATTAGCCCAGACTCCTCCGCATGAGAGAGTCTGACAGAGACAGCCCCAAAGTTAAGGTTCTGTGGCCTTTTATGGATGGGAACAGGAAGTGAGGATAAAAGAAAAAGGAAGGGCATCTGGGCAGGCACTCATGGAGGGGACAGGGGAGGTCAGGGTGTCTGTTTAATGACTGACCTTGGGGCCCATCAAGTGATAAATCAGAGTATGAGGAAGTGCAAGAGACCAGCTTGAAACTGCACTAATCAGGCTGTCCAATATCATTGAATTGGCTGACAATCTGGCTGTTGATTAAAACTATAAGTCACTCCAGGACCTAAGCATGACTTGCTAAGTGAGCCTTAAGCTGGTGTTTAGAGATGGACTTCCTGATGCCAAGGGTTATGACTGCGGCCTCAGTGATCAATGAGGCTGTGCCATCTCTCACAGCAAGTAAACACTGCAGCTGAGGACTTAAGACTGTGCAGCTGTGCTCCAAGAGCAAACGTTAGTGAGGATAACACAGGTGGCTCGTTAGCTACGACCTGCAAGACAGCACAGGTGGCTTGTTAGCTGTGACCTACCCTTCACAAGAGTGCCCCTCCCTTTACAGTCTGGCTGAGTAGTGCATTCGTTTAGCTGTTCCTCACATCTGCCAACCGATCGGAAATGCCTCTTTCCACTGTATGAGGACATTTACCAGCTATTTGTGCAGTAGAACTCAAAATTGTTACTGCTATCTAATGAGGAGGGTCGTGAACTGCTACTTTCCAAATCTGTACCCATTCATGCAGCGCATCTCTTAGAGTGGCCCCTCCAAAGGAAGAGATCACTTCAGAGTTTGATTTGGGTTTATTTTCCCCTTCTTCAAACGTGGAGGGAAAAGGACTTGCTCTTGCGCTGAGGATCCGCAGATGACCGCATGGTGGCGCTGGCGCTGCACGGCAGACGGCGCCCTCCTCTCGGTGAGGCTGCGCCTGTTTCCCCTCGGGTCCTCCTTTCCCTCCAGCCAGGCTGAGGCCTGTGCCTGATGCCTGCCAAGAAGCTGTCAGGCCGAGCTGGGAACCGGTGAGGCCTACCTGAAGTCAGTAGGATTTTCTTTGTTCTCTGACAGGCCACGTTCTGTCCATTGCTCCCTACCGAAGAAGAAAAAATTCTTACAACACATTGAATACTGTTTAAAGCTGTTTCCTCAGCTCGAGCTACAGGTATTTGTATCTCGCATTTGGCCCCTGCAAGTGACCTATTCCCTCTCAAATGAAATAGCCCAAGGAACAAATCGTGTCCTGATGTGTCATTAGAACCTCCGCGGCTCGGGAGAGGGAGACCGGAGGCTTGGCCAGTCTAGGAAGAGCACCCTCTCAGCGTGGAAAGAAACGTGTGCAAAGGCCCTGGAGAACTTGGAAGGAGTCCTCCCAAGCACCTGCTCAGAATCAAGCGCGCTCTGGAGGCAGAGCTCCGTTGTTCCTGGAGATGGGACCGCTGTGTGGCCGAGGCTGGCTTCCGGCTTGGTTCTCCCGGTTTGGCCTCCGGTCGCCGGGATGACAGGCACGGGCCACCAGGGCAGGCTTAGTATCTTTTGTAAAATAGGAAAAAAAAAAAAATACAGATTTTCATTAAATTATGGTAGGGTATTCTTTTTTAAATTGAGGCAAATATTACTTATGATGGAATATCCCAAGATTTAATATTTCTTTCAAAGCAGTTTTATTGAGGTAAAAAATTTCATTTGATAAATCTGTTTAAATAGTCCAGTGACTTTTGACAAATGTATTAGATTAATGCATGCACTATCACTATTAAAATAGAAGTTTAATATGCTTTATCCAAAACATTTGGGATCAGAAGTATTCTGTATTTCAGCTGTTTTCAAATTTGCATATACAGGCCGGGCGTGGTGGCGCACGCCTGTAATCCCAGCACTCAGGAGGCTGAGACAGGAAGATTGCTGTGAGTTCGAGACCAGCCTGGGCTACATAGTGAGTTCCAGGTCAGTCGCTACTACATAGAGAGACCCTGTCTCAAACCACCCCACAAAAAATAAATTTGCATATACACAATGAGATACCTTAGAGATGGAACACAGTTTTAAAGAGAAAATTTGTTGGTGTTTCAAACACACCTTTTACACGTAGACTGAAGGTAATTTTAGAGTCTATCTTAACTAATTTTATGAATGAACCTAAGATTTAGGGTGTAGAATTTTCCAGTAGGAGCATTACACCCCACTCCAAAAGTTCTGACTTTGGAGCATTGTATATTCCGCATTTTTCAGATTATGGACACTCACTTGTACAGAGTTTTTCAGTTGCTTCCCTGGTGCCATCTCAGCTCAGTCCACACCCCCACTAATCCGAGATCTACTTCTACCTGACTGTGATCTTCATGTACACAGGCTCTCACGTGCATACGCCATTTTGATGTCTGGCTTCCTTTGGTCACTGTGTTTCTGATGTTCGTCCATGCTAAAGTGTGGATTAGCAGTTCTTTCTTTTTTATTGTTCAAGCATATAAACATGACGCGACTCCTCGGCTAATCTGTGGGTATTTGGATTGTTTCCTGTTTGAGCCATAGTACCTGGAGCTGCTGTGAGCACTCAGGTACACATATCAGTGTGGACAGATGCTGGGGTGTGAACACTCAGCAGAGGAATTTCGGGGTCATGTGCTGGGTCGTGTTTAATGTTGTAAGAAATTGCGGAAGCTCGCCAAAGTGACTGCAGCACTTCCTGAGGGCTTTCACGGCAAAGTATCATGCACTGGGTGGATTAAAACAACAAAAATGTATCTATTAGAATGCTTCACAGGAAGTGCTGCCTCTTTTATCTTCCGGTGCCTGCTGGCAACTGTTAGCCTTTGGGTTTGGGGCAGCCAAACTCCAGTGTCTCCCTCCAGCTGTGTCGGCAGTCCTCCTGTCCCATGGGTCCCGTGTCTGTCTCCACTCTGACTCAGTCCTGCCGAGCTCAGGGAGCCCTCAATTCACTTATTCTCGCCAGCAGAGACCTTATTTCCAGGTCACGTTGGGAGGTTTGAGATGGGCAAAACCTGTGGGGGGCGCCATTCCACCCAACGCTATCCTGGTTGATCAGCTGTACAACTTCCACTATTTGTGAGCGTTCCAATTGCTTCTTGTCCTCACAAACGCTTCATAATGTTTTGTTTTGGTTTTTTTGAGACAGGGTCTCACTATGGAGTTGAGACTGGCCTGGAACTCACTGTGTAGCCCAGGCTGGTCTCGAACTCACAGAGATCCTCCTGCCTCAGCCTCCCAAGTGCTGGGATTACAGTCGTGCGCCACCACGCCCGGCTATGCTTCATAATGTTATCGTGCATTTTACAGTTTTAGTCATTTTCGTGTGTGTGTGTGTGTGTATGTGGTGGTTTCATTTGGGTTTTAATTTTTGATTCCTTAATGGTCACTGATGTTGAACAGCTTTTCATGTACTTGTTGGCCATTTAGGGATCTTCTTTTGTAAAATGTATTTGGGTTTTTGCCTGTGTAAAATTTAAGCTGCCTTAAAATAATCTGTAGAAATTATTTCTTTAAGACAGATATAAATCATTTGTCAGATACATACATTGAAATTTTTTCTCTCCCAATCTGTGGCTTCACTTTTTATGACCTACAATGTCTTTTGATGAATGGAATTTAAATTCAAATGAAACCCACTTTTCAACTTTGTTTAGTGTTTTTTAATGACCCCAGAAATCTATTTAAACTTAAAGCTATGAAGATATTTTGTTTCAGATGTTTCTAGCTTTAGCTTTTATATTTAAGTCTATGATCCTGCCTAAATTGGTTCCTATATTTGGTATGGAGTTCATGTCAAAGTTTCTTTTTCCCACATTTATCTGCTTGTCGCAACTCAATTTGTTGAGAATTGTCCCTTTTCTGTTGATCAGACTTGGTTAAGAGTTTGTTGATTGTTTACATCCTGTTGAAAATTAGTCTGTGGTATGTGTTTGGTTCCTACCATCTATTTGTCTGTTCTTGCCCCATTGGCTTAATTACTGTAGTTGTTTAATCTTCACATCAGATAATGTAAGTTCTCCTACTCTATCTTTTGGGAAATAGTTTTGACTATTTCTCTTAATTTTCCTGCTCCATATACAAATTTCAGACTTAAATTTTCAGTTTCTACCAAAAAGGAAAAGAGGGAAGGAAGGAAGGGAGGAGGAGGGAGGGAAGGGGAGAAAGAAAAAGGCAGGAAGGGAGGGAGGGAGAAACATAGCCTATTTGGATTTTTGCCCCTCAGTATCAGGACGCAAACTCAGGACCTTACACTTGCCAGGCAGGCGCAGCTCCACTGAGCTAAATCCCTGGTCCCTATTTAGATTTTTTCAGGTGGAATTGAATTTACAATACCTACTCTTTTTAATAGTTAATTTGTAAAGTCAATTTCTTGGTAAGAAAGACTCATTTTCTAATATTTTTATATGTTCTCAAAAATGTCTTGTCTTTGAAAAATATGTATCACTGTCTTAAATAAGATCAAACCTTATTTTAAAAATCTTGGAAATACTCCAATTCATTTTAAGCTACTCTGTCTTAAAAAAAAAAAAAAAACTACTTCTCAATAATTTAAGTCTAGAAAATAACTTTTCTGACATTTTTTTTAAAAATACATACTTATGATAAGTAAATCCAGTACTTTAAAAATATTTTGGGAACTTTCATAAAACCTCAATTTCCATTTCATTTTACTGTTTACATTTTAAATTTTCTTCAAAAACCAGGTTTAATAGAAAAGCACTCCAATTGTTTTAAGCCATTATATTTAAATGATTAAAAATTTTAAAATTTAAGCTGTTCTTCTATTACATTGTATGCCATACAGTCAACATATTACTTATATAACTATTCAGCCTATAATAGTTTAGGATACATATTAAAATTAAAGATGCTTATTTGGCAAATTCTTTTAGAACAGGCTTCCTGTGTCTGGTTCTGCTATAAAGATTCTGCGGCAGTTCCTTGATTACAGTAAATTTTTTTCCTATTCACAATAGGTATGTTTGAAAAACCACACAAAGAGGAAAACACCTGGCACATTTTACTACTCCAACGTTTTCAGTCTTGGGGCATAGGCGATCTTGTTGCAATTTCTTCCTACACGAGGTATTTCAGTGTTCAACAAGTAAAAATGTTAATTATTGTCCTAGATTTCTTTCAGAATCTTGTCCCAAGATTTTTGGTTGTGAGGGGTGAAGAGAAGAGCCCAGGTGTCCTGCCTGTCTCAACTCCTGTGGTCCACATGCAGTGGGTGGTATCCAGAGCATGTGGGTGGCCGGCAACAGCAAGTCACCAAGCTATCACAATGACCATCCTCTGTCCAAAGGTTTGAAGAAACACATATAGTTAACACCAAAAGGAGCTTGAGGAACAAGGTTCAGGGACCCGGACTGGGACTCTGGGGAGGTTTCTGGAACGCTTCCTCTTTATTCAGGAAAGGCACAGGCTTATATGGGGCAGGGCGGGGGTGGAGCCAGGGTGGAGTCGGGATATTCGGCACATCGCTATTGGCCACATGTTAACTTTTGGGTTGTATGCTTTAGGGGCTGAGGTAAATGGAGTCGGGACCTTAGAGGTTTTTGAGAGGAACAGCTCATCTGTCTAACGTCAGATCTCTACACACCCGAGGGGGAGGATTATTCCGGCCCTAATAGGCCTCAGAGTTTTCTCAGGAGAGATGGGTGCAGCACTCCTGACCCAGCCAGACATTAATCTGATCCTCAAGCCTGTACTTTGAGCAGCAAGACATAATGTTGCTGAAATTTTCACAGCATTGAAAAATGGAGAAATCTGTAATTTTATAACGCGAATATCAACAAGGGAAGAAACAAGAATAAATCTAATCTTCGTGGCAGTTGCTAGTGGTTTTCTTGACGATCCCATGGCAACAGTGATTCTTAATTATACACAGGTGCAGGGGAAACTTATAATACAAATGATTAGAAAGGTATGATAAAGTATTATAATGATAAACCTCATAATATGACAAGTAGGAAATGCAAAAAGGGCCTGTTTTAATGATAACTCTTCACAAATATTGTAGCTGTATAGCTCCTAATAAAGTGTGCTAAACTTATACGTAGACGGATATTCTGCCGTAACTTTATATACTCAAAATTACAGCCATACTGGAACAAATTTCTTGGGAATTTCTAAGACTACATCTTAATATTTCTTTTTATGCCAAATGGATAACTCACACATGTGTGGGAGATACGGACTTGTCATTTGCTGTGTGAGTAACATGAAATCTCATCCATTTATTGTCTATAACCTGAACCATCGGGACAGGCTGTTAGGAAATCAAACCTCCGTCCCTGTTTCGACTTCCTTTGGCTCCAGCGTCGCAGATAGCAGAAGAACTTGGGAAGTTTGGGGGTGCGGAGCTGCACAAAGCCACGTGCCTGGAAAAACCAGCACTGCCGAGATGCTGAAGGTCCACCTCTGGTGGTCACTGGTGTTTCTGAGACTATTCTGGCCATAAAAGAAATAATGTTGTGTGTTAGGTAAATGAAAATAGAAAAATATAAACCTTTGCACGCTCCACAAGTCAAGACTTCCCATTACCTGAACAAGACCTTGAGGTTTTATTGAAGGACAGAGACTAAATGTTAACTTGCCACTTTTGCATTAGTGTAATAAAATAAATCACCTCTACTCCCCTCACGCAATACCCACAACACCCCGATCAGGGAAGTCACACGTAGGGAAAGGCAAACCAGAGCAGAAAATCGACCTTCCTTTGCTTGCTTCACCCGCCGCGCTTTCTCACCTGTTACCCGCGCCAGGACCAGCTAAGTGATCTGCACAAAGTGCGAAATAGAAATGCAGAGCTTCTTTTTATAAAATGATGAAGAGTTTCGAGAAAATAACGCCTTGGCTTCAAGCCAAGGATGGTGCCCCTTAAGTGCAGCCCACCCAGTGCTGGAGCCCGCCGGGCGCAGGTCTCTCTCCCCTCGGTCGTTACTGTACAGCCAGCAGCTCTCTAAGGTTGCTCCGCGAGACGCTGTCCCTTAGAATCAGCCTATACGTCCTCCCCCGTGCGATGTGTCTGAAGCAGAGGTTCTCTCACCTCCCTGTTCATCCTTTCAGTAAAGCCCCTGCAGGATCAGGTCCACATTTTAGACGTGAACTTCTAGGTGCTCCTGGGCCGCCTCTGCCTGATGGATCATCTCCGCCTCTTTCCACTTCCTGCTCCACACCTGTGCTCCATCCACCTGCGTGAGGAAGCACAGGGCCACTTAGGTGTCACAGGGTCGATCCCCAAACCAGGGAAAGAAGGGCGCTTAGTGCTGCTGGAATGTGCCACTCACAAAGCTGCCCCCAGGCTGCCAGTGGCCTGTCCTGCAGATGGCTCGGGGCCCAGACACCGGACAGTTGGCCAGCACAGCAGTGCTCAAGGGCCAAAACACTGAGCCATGTCTGAAATGTGCTTGAAATTTATAGCCACTATCAATGACTTTACTCCCCAGCCCCCCGCCCAGTACTGGGGAGTGAACCTGGAGCCTCTGCACTGAGCTACTTGCCCAGTCTTTTCTTTTTTGAGATAGTATCTTGCTTAGTCCCTAAATTGCCCATACTTGGCTAGAATTAATAGTCCTCCTGTCTCGGCCTCACAGATTACAGGCCCAGCTCAATGTCACTATCTCTGACCTTGCTGTAGTGCCACTTCTCAAACTCTTAAGATGTAGAGATTCATCATCCCATACCCTTTATTTGTGGAGCCTCTGAGTAGATCATTATTGTACACAGTTGTCAGTCTGACAGGCCAAAAAGATGAGCAAGAAATAAATAAATAGGGATTGTCCTTATTTTCAAGCAGAAGACCAATATGTTAACAAAAACCCACTACCATGTGCTGTGGCTCTCACTTCTTGAATCCCTGCTGAGTTGAGTACAGCATTGGGTGTGTTACATTTAACAATCCATTCAAGATTTGGGCGTTTATATTCATAATTGATGGGAAAGGGAAAACAGAACTTCAAGAGTGTAAGTAACTCACCCTAGGAAGTAGGCTGTGAACTGGGATGTACGCAGATGTTTTTCTGGTTCCGAGCTCTTTCATGTCCACCATATTATTATGATATCCCATATGTATACTTTTGAATGGTGGTTCTAAAATGAGTATACACAGAGAGACAGAGCCAGCAAATTTTACCTCAGTTTACCTGGTAAAGAAGAGATTAAGAAGTCCTTGGCCAGAGGACAAGAGTGGAGAGCACAGGAATGATGCACCAAGGGAATTACATATTGCCAAGCCCCAGAGAATGTCATATTCTAGGAACTGCAAGTCTTCAGGAAAGATTATATAGAAGGAACTGGAGCATGTGGAACCAAAAAGCTAGACAAAGGACCTATCACCAGAGCTCTATAGGAGACCCAAGGAACTAGAACTTCATTCAGTGAGTGACTAGGAGTAATTTAGGGGATTTAATAGGAAATGATACATCGAGGCTGATGTTTTGAAAGAGATTTCTGCTACCATTTTAGAAAACAGAGCAGAGGAGAAAAAGACCAGAGGCCAGATCAACAGTCGGCTACAACACAGGTAAAAGGAAAGAAAGCCCAAACAAAGTCAGCGGGCAGAGAAATAAAAAGAGCAAGCCCATTTTAAGAGATAAGCGAGATCGGGAAACAGACCAGGATATTGTGGTTTGCAAAAGCAATCAGTGTAGACTTCCAAGTGTTCCTAACAAATATTTGAGTAAATAGTTCTTAAGCTCAGTGATGCACTCAGATTTAAAAACTATTTGTTGCAACTCTAGTGAGTGGACCTTTGAAAATGCATCTTCTGTTATCATCTTCCACCAAGAAAATGCCATCACATTATTTTCTACTTTTCTGCATGACTGAAGCCAACTCCTTATATCCTGCTGTTTTGTTGCTTCTTTTTTTAAGGGGAAGGCGTACTGGAGCTCCATAATTAATTATGGACATGTTTCCTTTCTTCTCAAGTACTATTCACAAAGAAACCCTGTGCTACTCCAGTAGAAAAAGTTTCACAGCCTTTACACGTGGGAAATTGTTACAGCTGTCTTCGCATATAAAAAAAAAAACAACAAAAAAAAAACATTGCCAGCAACATTTTCAGTTTGATCCTCTTTGAAACAGTGGAGGACAGGGATTCAAATCCTATTTTAAAGTGAAGAAAATGAAAGGAGTTTGATCCATTCACATTCAAGCAGGGATACAATCCAGGTTGTAGGCTTCCTGGAAACATATTGTATTCAGTGGTCGCCAGCCAGGTCTGAAATTCATTGATCAGTGACAAAGTAACAGACACATAGTAAGCATGAGAACTTCCATTTTGTATAGTCACAGGGATTGAATTTACTTGTTAGAAAGTAAGGAGGCAACAATTTTCAGGGAGCTGGGAGATGAAGACTCAGGCCAGTCTCTATTAAATAAGGATGCATGCGGTCACTTGAACCGGCTACTTGCCCTCCCGAGGCATTGTGTGCGACTGGATTCAGGCAGTCCACACAATGAATGCGCGGATATGCTAATTGCTCCTCTGCCTGCCATAAGCACAACTGGCTACACAGATTGGGAAGCCAAGCCAGGGGATAGGCTATGAAATTGGTATGGAAGCTTTGGCAGCAGCCCGACTGATCAGTATACTTAATGCAGAGCTAAAACTAAAACACAAAGCACAGCTTGTTTTGTTTAACAGTGATTTCTAGTGGCAGAGACAGATGTTTGTTGAAATGGCAAGAGATTTGCAAAGCAGAATGTTCTACCACTTACGGTAATTGCTTTATTAATATTGTATGTGTTTATGGCTTCTGTCTTCTGGCTGCGGAAGCTCTTATTTTAAGTGACCAGCCCTCCTGATGACTGGCAGTTCATCTCAACTTCAGAGACCCTTGGAGGCACACCTCCAGCCTCGAACTGTGCAGTGAATTATTTCACAAGAAGCTGCACTCTTGTTTGATTTTCTTACACTTGGAGCCCTCGGGGGGCACTGGGGAGCCACCAGAGACGCTGGTTCTGCATAGCAAAGCACCTTCCAGCTGACCGAGATACCCTCAGCTGCAGACCCGTTCCTGCTGCAGGGACGACCTTTCACCAGCCCCGCCTCAGGACTTGCTGTCAGCCACCATACCTGGAGGAGGCAAGAGATTCGGATCCAGAATAGTGAAAAGACTGGATCCATTTAAAAGAGTCAAGTTTGCAATAGGCCTATCCTAAAATTTCCCATTTTGGGTGCTCGGTTTATTTTGCTTTGAAAAAGATAGATCACATTTTAATTTGCTTCCACTATGTTACTAAAAAGAAGAAATGAAGGAAATAAACTAACAAAGGCAAGTTAAACTTGGAGTTGAGATTTTCCGAGCATTTGCTAGCTTCCTCTGCGGCCGGTCACTTCCTCCCGGCCTGTACCCACTCTCCCAGTGTCCCTCCCTAGGGTCCCACAGGCTGTCGCAGTCCTGAGGCTGTTGACTGAGCGCTCCAGGAGGGAGGGAGGGGAAGTGGCTTCTGAGGCAGAGTGGCAGCCTGAGTTTTTGGCCGGCCTCACTGCCGCTGCTCTGCCCTGCAGGACGCGCCCCCAGCCCAGGCCCGGAGGGCGTGAGCGAGAGGGAGAACCTTCCCGGCTCCCGGTCACAGTCGCGGGCGACCCCCACCCCGACACTGGGAGATCGCTTCTGGAAGCCCCTGGAGAGCCGCGCTGCATTACCCATTCACTGCTTCTGCTCTGTGTTGTGACAGTCGGTTCCCCCGCAAGATCGTGGGCCTGGGAGGCCCTCCAGACTTCTTCGCTGGTGCAAAAGCATCTTTCTTTAATTCGCGTTGCTAGGAGAAAGCCTACTCAATATTTAATTTTAACCTAACGTGTCACAGTTTTCCATGCCAAAAAATAGCCTGGCGGCTCTGCATAATTCATCGTAGTGGACACGGCCTACCTCCGCTTCAGAGGCAAGGCGTAGAGGAGTAGCAGCGGCCGCCCAGCCTGTCGGCCTTGGCTCCACGGGGTTAGGGCATTTTTAAGAGAATCAGTGTAGATGGTTTATATGTAAACAAAAGTTGTTTCATAGAAAAAGGAAAAACAGTAAAATGCAGTTAAAAACATGTAGGTTTTGGAAGGCACCCTTTACAAGAAGCATAAATAGGTACAGCTCAAAGCAAATCACAGGTGTTCTGTTTCAGATCCTTCGTCTGTACTGATGCTTTTCTTTAATAATGTGTGTGTGAAATGGCTTCTAAAACAATCATAGAGAATGAAGCAGTATTGTATATATACTTCCAAGATTCTCTTTTATATATACGTTTAGTTCAAAAATATGAAGAAATTGGTTCCTGCGCCTGCCTGGCAAGCACAAGGACCCAAGTTTGATCCCAGGCACCAAAAAAAAGAAGAAATTGAATCGATGTCTTTTAAATTCTCATGATCAGACAATATTGAAAGTACTGGAAACCACACTCAACCAGGACAGATGTAGTTACCTGTGTTTTTGTCCTCAACATCCTCCTCCCCAAACCCTGATCTAATGCATTTACTTAAAAAAGATTTAAATGTTACTCTATTAAAAAAAAAAAGTAGAGAAAACTACCTATGGAAATTACATTTCACCTGCTTAAGCTAAGAACATCTTGCAGGTAAAGAGATTATTTACAAAGGCCAGGTTAACATATAATATTGCTAAAATACTGCCATTCCCTCAAGCTGTTCAACGGCACAATCTGACACATTAGCGCAATGTGAAGAGAAAAGATTGCACTTGCTACATTTTCCCCAGATTTTGTTTCATTTGAAATATTGTGTACAAGAAAAAGTCACGTTGGAGATATTGCTTCTCCACTACAGTCTTGGAATTCTTTGACAGGTACGGGACTTTCCTAAGTAACACAGCCATGTGTATACATTCACTTGTTCCTCCTTGCTGATTTTTTTTGTATCACCTAGCAAGATTTTAGTTCAATTTTCCTTATGATGATGTTTTACATTTTACACTTGTTTCCTGGGAGTAACCAATCTTCCAATGAGACTTTTCCTTACCCCAGTCTTACATCTGACCCCTTCCTGGCTCACAGTGCAGTTTATTTCATTTAAAAGGAAAAAAGTAACTCATGTATGTTTTTGATTCAATTTCTCATTTTCTTCAGTTCCATAATGTGCAGTTCTCAGGAATATTATTTTCCTCAGGCTGATCTGTGTTCTCTTTCAATAAAACCACAGGACGCAGCTGTTGGGCAGGGAGACTAAATGTCATGGATT